CACATCAGGCATGGAGAGCTTGGGAGCCTTGAAGTGCATCTCGGGCATCTTAAACTTAGGGCCTTTCAGCTTCCCTTCTGGACCTTCAAGGCTCACATCCGGGGCTTCAATGTCCACCTTGGGTCCAGAGATGTCAATGTCAGCCTTGGGCAGGTTCACATCCACTTCTGGGCCCTCCCCTTTGAGGCTGGGCATGCTGAACTTGGGCATTTTCATCTTGGGCATTTTCAGGCTCCAGTCTGCACCTTGGACTTCCACATCTGGTGCTTTAATGTCTACCTTAGGTCCTTTGATGTCCACATCTGGAACTTTCATTTCACCCTCTATTTTTGGTGCAGACATATCTAGATTTCCTTTCATTTGGGGTCCTTTAAGATCCAAGTCAACATCTGGCAGAGTCATCTTAGGGGCTTTGAAGTGCATCTCAGGCATCTTAAACTTTGGACCTTTCAACTTTCCTTCTGGTCCTTCAAGGCTCAAGTCTGGAGCACTAACATCTATCTTGGGTGCCGAAATGTCCACATCAGCCTTTGGCAGGTTCACATCCACTTCTGGGCCCTCCCCTTTGAGGCTGGGCATGGTAAATTTGGGCATTTTCATCTTGGGCATCTTTAGGTTCCATTCAGGACTATGAACGTCAACATCGGGGGCACTGACGTCTACTTTTGGCCCTTTGAGTTCCCCTTCCAGCTTTGGCACTGTAACATCATATTCTCCTTTTACCCTGGGACCTTTCATATGCAAATCTACATCAGGCATAGAGATCTTTGGGGCCTTAATATTCATTTCAGGCATCTTAAACTTGGGACCCTTCAGCTTTCCTTCGGGTCCTTCAATATTCACATCTGGAACTTCAATGTCCGCTGTGGGTCCTGAGATGTCAACGTCTGTCTTGGGCAGGTTCACATCCACTTCTGGGCCCTCTGCTTTGAAGCCAGGCATGCTGAACTTGGGCATTTTCATTTTGGGCATCTTCAGGTGCCAATCTGGGCCGTGAGCATCAACATCTGGAGCATCAATATCCACTTTGGCACTTTTAAGTTCAACATCAGGAACTTTAATCTCACCTTCAACTTTTGGCACTGTGACATCGTATTCTCCTTTTACCTTAGGGCCTTTCAGATGTAAGTCCACATCTGGCATGGAGATCTTCGGGGCTTTGATATTCATCTCAGGCATCTTAAACTTAGGTCCCTTCAATTTCCCGTCTAGTCCCTCAATGCTCACATCTGGACCACTAACATCTACCTTGTGCCCAGAAATGTCCACATCAGCCTTGGGAAGATTCACATCCACTTCTGGGCCCTCCGCTTTGAGCCCTGGAACACTGAATTTGGGCATTTTCATCTTGGGCATCTTCAGATGCCAGTCTGGGCCATGAACATCCACATCCGGGGCATCAATGTCCATTTTGGGGCCTTTCAGTTCTCCTTCAAGTTTTGGGGATGTTACATCATATTCTCCTTTTACCTTTGGGCCTTTAACATGTAAGTCTACATCAGGCATGGAGATCTTTGGTGTCTTGACACTGACTTCAGGCAGCTTAATATCAGGGCCTTTCAGTTTGCCTCCCAGGCCCCCTACGTTGACATTTGGGGCCTCCACGTTGACCTTGGGCCCTGAAATACTGACATCTCCTTTGGGTAGTTTCACATCTACATCTGGGCCTTCCCCTCCAACTCCTGGAGCATTGAACTTGGGCACTTTCAGGTTCCATTCTGGGCCATGCACTTCCACATCTGGGGCCCTGACGTCCACTTTGGGTCCTTTGATGTCAACTTGAGGGACTTTGACTTTCCCTTCTACTTTTGGGAGTACAACATCCACACCCCCTTTCACTTTAGGGGCAGTCACATTTAAGTCTACATCTGCCATAGAGATCCCATAGGTGCCTGTTTTCCCAGAAGGACTACTAAGCTTGGGTCCTGTCAAAGTCCCCTCAAGGCTAGGTGTCTCTATGTCCATTTTGGCGCCTTTCACTGCCACTTGAGGGCCTTTAACATCACCGTGCAACCCAGGCGCAGAAACCTTAATATCTCCTTTCAGTTTAGGAGACCCAAGGCTCAGATCCACATCCTGCATGGAGATTTTAGGTTTTTGAATAATCATTTCAGGCGTCTTGGCTTTCGTACCCTTCACCTTCCCTTCCAGCCCCCCGGCAGCAACTTCAGGCAGACTGATGTTCCCAGAGACCCCAGGAAGAGTCACTGCACCTGTCACATCAATGCCAGCTCCCTCTCCCTTAGAACCTAATACAGAGAATTTGGGAACTTTCATCTTGGGCATATTCAGTTTGCCCCCAGGCCCGTGAATATCAACGTCAGGGGCTTGAACTTCCACATTGGAGCCAGTGATGGTGCCCTCAATCTTGGGCACAGAGACATCCACCCCGATGCTCCCCTGTGACTTGGCACCTTTCAGGCCTAGACCAGTCTCAAGTGATGGCCCAGTGATTTGGGGGCCTTTCAGCTTCCCCTCAAGCCCCTCAATACTGGCAGAAGGAGCACTGACTTCTAGCTGAGGGGTCTGGATGTTCCCACCAATGGTCAGGCCTGGCTTGCCTCCCTTGTGCCCCACAGAGAATTCAGGTGCAGAAACACTCAACCCTGCCACTGGCACCTGGCCCTCCGGCCCCGTTGGGACACCAAATTTTGGCACTTTCATAGTGGGAATTTTAATTTTCCCATTACTGCCACTCTCAAGAGATGGGTCCTGCACCTCTACTGCCCCACCCCCAAGAGAAGACGAAATGTCCACTCCTGGAACTTGGGCCCCTCCTTTGCCACCCAAGTCCAAGCCCTTCGCACTGACGCTGACGCCTGGGCTTCCCACCTTTATCCCAGGCATGGTGACCTGGAGCTTCGAGTGGCCAGCACCTTGGAGCTCTGGTACCGACGCGGAAACGGACCCCGCTCGGATGTCCACGACAGAGCCTGTGGTCGGAGACACTGCCCCCGAGCCCGAGGGCAGTCTGATCACTGTCTTGCCAGGGTGGGTGTCCACATCCACAGTGGAGATTTCAGTCAGTTCATGCCGTGGAATCTTGATCTTGAACTCAGGGCTGCTGATGTCGATGTCCTTGGCACCTTCACGGCCTGTCACATCAACAGTGTAGGCCGTGACCCTTCTAGTCACTGTGATGGTGCGGCTCTGGGTCTCCCCAGGATCCCCTTCTACGCCATCCTCCGACTTCAGCCGAGGCTTGATCTTCGTGGTGTAGATGCGCTGGTACTCCTCATCATCCCCGCTCTGCAGAAAGACACGCCCGGCAGAGGTTGAAGCAGGGTCTGCCCGAGTCACAGACGCCCGGCCACAGCCCAGCCGACAACATGGCTGCCTGTTTCCCAAAGAAGCTGGGACCAGAACGGAGACCCACGGAGCCTCCTGGGGCAGAGCAAAGGGGGCTGAAGAAAGGGGCTGACGGCCACCTCACAGGAGGAAAACAAATTATTCGGGGAAACTCCGGGAAGCAAAAGCCATGGGGAGAGGAGCCGGGTAGACGGCTGCGCTGTGTGGATGAAAGATTTACAATCCATTCTAGATTCAGATGGGTGTCAAGTCCCAGGGATGCCTCCTGGGTGACCATCTCTGTGTGGACTTCACCCTTTAGGCTCCCGACTCTCGACTCACTCTGGCTTACTTAATCCTCTCGACTCACTGGCTTACTTAATCGGCAGGGGGATTTCTCTCAGGGACCTCTCAAGAAAGCATTTGTTGAGACTCTGTGCTGGGGTTAACACTGTCACTTTGAGGACCCATTATGTGTTAAATAAAGAAGCTGGCAGAAGGGGCAAAGAAACGTCCCTCAGGCACTTTGCCGCCCAGCCTCTGACTCACAGACGAGTCCAGGCCTCTGGAAGTTGAAAACTGCTGCCTGTGAGGCACCTGTGAGGCTATCTCGAAGATTCTTACAAAACAGCTGACCTTCCTCCTGGCATCTAGGACCAGACGGCGTGAGTGGGTTCCCACGCTGTGGGGCTCTGAAGAGTCTGACGGGAGACTTTCAGGGCAACATCAGCCGCACACCAGACACAAACAGGAACACACAGACTGGCTCATCAGAGAACGCACAAGAGAGAAAGTAGGGAAAGTAACCACAAGAGAGGTCCGGCAGGCAGGCACAAGGCTCAGGAAGTGACCAGCAGGTCGGCATGGCCAGGGGGAACTCGGGGCGCAGAAAAGCCGCCGAGGCACTCACCAGAACCACCTCGGAGCTTCGGGAGCTGAAGACTTCGTGGGTCCAGGTCTGGCCAGGCTCAGGGGAGCGGTCGCCCTTGCGGTGAAGCTTCAGGCCCACGGTGTGGTGCCCCATGGTGTTCAGCAGCTGGGTCACCTCGCCTGACTGCAGGTTGTCAAAGTAGATGGTGGCACCCACAATCTGGTCCCCTGAGCAGGGAGGAGCGAGAAGCTGGTGAGACCCCCACCCAGGGTCTCAGGGAAACAACACACAACCACCACGCACTGGGCCCTCGAACTGACTTAATTTAACGCACGTCCGACCACCATAATACACGCTGCACAGATGAAGAAACGGAGGCTTAGGGAGGCCAACTAATTTGTCCGAAGTGAGAGAGCTCGTGAGCAGTGGAGTGAGGACTAGGGACTACGTCTCCACCGCCCTACATCACCGCCTGCCCCAATGGGGGCAGAGGAGGGCAGGGCTCGGGTACCGACCATCCCGATGCCACTGGGACTGTGCCCTTCCGTCCGCCACCGTCCTCCACCCCACTCCAGCACCCAGCCCGCACCCTGAGGTGACTCACCCTCCTTGACCACCCCAGTGCGGGCCGCAGGGGAGTTCTGCATCACCTCCTGCACAAAGACGCCGTCGTCCCTCTGGGCAATGGTCAGCCCATGGGAGCCGCTGCCCTGCCAGTTGGGCAGCAACAGCTCCCGGGTCGTCTCCTCCTCCTTCTCCATCTGGGGTGAGGTAAGGAAATAGGGCTCAGGACAAGTGGGGGCTCAGGGGGTATGAGGAGATGAGAAAGCCAAAGATCTCTGGTGCTGTGAGCTCCCAGGGAGTGAAGCAGCGTCTCCGAGGGGCCCGTGTCCACTGTGGAATGTTCCCAAGGCACCGCAGAGGATACGGAAAGTGCACACTGGTGGCAACCGACTTCGGAGATAACCAGCCCCTCATCCCTTCCACCCAGGGCCCTGCCTCCCATGCCACACAGGGTCCCTCCCCTCCCCTGCCCATCCCCTCCATCACACCCTCCCTCCCGCGGACCTTTTGCAGGACTCAGTTCAGGAGCGGATGCCTTGCCAGGAGCCCGCCCCTCCTTCCTGTCTTCTCAGTCTCTCGTCGTCGGGAATCTCGGTCACAGGGCCTAGGGAAAAGCGGACAAGGACACTCGCCCTCAACAACTGGCTTGCTCGGCACCCCGACCGTAAGAGATGGCGGAGTGTTCTGCTCTCTGGACCAGACCAAAACCTCAACCTTCCCCACTGTCATCATTCCATTCCTACGTGACTCTCCAGCCTGGGATCACAGAGAGGGGGATTAGGGGAGGCCAGACTTAGCTATCAACCCTGGCTCTGCATCTTTCCCAGCTGTGTGTGTGACCCTGGCCAAGTCACTCAACTTCCCTAAACATCCATTTCCTCATCTGTGAAAATGGAGACGATATAGGATTTCCCGGAGGGCTGGAGGAGAGAGAGCGCGTGTGTGAAAAGTTCTGGTGCACACGAGCTCCACGATACACACCGTCCTCGGTGGGTTCTTTAGAACAGCTCCAGGAGGGAAATGTTACCGTCCCCATTTTATAGATGGAGAGACTGAGATTGTGGGGGCGGGGGGGGGGGGGGCGGGGGGCGGCCAGTGCGCCCGGAGTCCACAGCGAGAGCACCACTCTGCTTGGGCTCTGAGTCCGCAACTCTCTCCCCTACACCGCATCGGGTCTGCAGCGGTCACCCCTTCTCGGGGCCTCCAGCACTGGGGGCCAGTGGTGGCCCTGAAAACAGGAACAGTGGTGCCCTCCTTCCCCTGTGACAGTGACACTGGCTCACCCGGTCTAACCCAGTCCTTAGGACCAGGGGAACCCTCACCAGCTGGGAGTTCCAGGCACAGCAGCTGAGAAAAAAGAAGCTCCAAACCCCCTGGAGCCAGCCCACGCCCGAGAGGCCTGAATACAGCTAAGCCACCTCGGGGACACGGTGAGTCAGGGCTCATCTGGTTGCCCACACCGGGCCCTGAGCCAGGGCCCCATAGATATGGGCACTCAGGAGCAAAGATGCCCTCTGGCCACAGGATGAGCTGTCAGCTGCAGAGGTGCCCTGGGAAGACACGAGGCGGGCCTCTGGATACAGCCATGGCCCACAGCCACCCACACAGAATGGTGGTGGCAGCGTCACGCCGAAGCATGGTCTGTGAAACCAAGTTGGGGATGCTAAAAACCACTCAGAGCCTCACCCAAAGCCCCACCCTGAAGCTGTTTACATTCAGGAATTAGTCAACCAGTCAATAAATACACGCATACTGATAGCGTCTTGTAAGTGCAACACTGTACCAGACACGGCAGAGAAGACCAGCAAGGGACGGACAGCAGAGCCCCGCGCTCCACGCCGCATTAGATCGTTACCTAACTTCCCTCGCAGCTCCTCGCCACGTTCACTGAATGCGCTCCGTGTGCCAGATGGGGAGATTTAAAAGACTCAGTTCCTGTCCCGGATATAAATTATGAGCAAGGTGCTCTGGGTGTGACCCATTTAGCCTCAGAATGTTCCAGAAGGTTTATGAGCCTTCTCGGGGATTGGGGGATGAAATATAAAAGGAAAGAAAGGGGCAAAGCAAACTTATAATTTGCCAGCTTTCTTTTTTTTTTTAATATTTATTTTTGAGAGAGAGAGAGACAGAGACAGAGCGTGAGTGGGGGAGGGGCAGAGAGAGAGGAAGAGACAGAATCTGAAGCAGACTCCAGGCTCCGAGCCGTCAGCACAGAGCCCGACGCGGGGCTCAAACTCACGAACCGTGAGATCATGACCTGAGCCGAAGTCGGATGCCCGGCCGACTGAGCCACCCAGGCACCCGTTTACCAGCTTTCTTGAAAGTGTTAGAGTTTGCCTCTGAGGACGGGACTGTGTCTCTTGGAAACTCCTGGGCACTTAGCAGTTGTGGTGTCAGGCAGATCACAGCACGGGGGGTGGGGGGCGGGGGGGTAGACAGCCACAGAGACCCCAGTCCTCCACCCCCTGAACTCATACAGGCAGTATTTATGACACGGGTGCCGCCTAGGAGGCGAGCAGAGCCACTGACAGTGAGTGGCCTGTGGGCACAGGTGTGAGCTGGGGAATCACCATCCCTCCGGAGGAGCAGAAATGCCAAACAGAGGAGCCACCACAGGAAGTCACGCGGAACAGCGAAGCTGCAACTTAAAGGTGCCTTCGCCCAGCGGCCAGCCCCAGGAAGCCAGCCCTGCAGACAGGGAGCCAGGCAGGGCAGGGATGGAAAAGGCTTCCAGCCTGAGGGCTTCTCCGACCTCTGAAGCCACCAACCACCTTAGCACCCCGTTCTTCCTCCTCGAGCAGGGCCCCTTTTCTCTGCCCAGCATCCTGGTCCTGAGCCAGCAGCCAGCGAAGGGGGGGAACACGAGCCAGCTCACCCTCGCCCACAGCTCAGCCCCACCCTCCCTCCTTCCCCAGTGAGTCACTGGGGCCGCAACAGCTCCAGACATGCAAAGGGTCACGCCTAAAACCAGAGAGACAAAGTGCTTCGTTGGCCAGACCCCTGGGTGACAGAGGGGCCGGGGCTCCAGTGGAGACAGGCCAGGTGTCCCCAGAAGCACAGCTCAGAGGCTCAGGAGGGACCGGCTAATGCACCTCAGGCCTGGCGGCTAATGAGGGGAGAGAGCCATCTCGAAGGTGAAGCCTCCACAGCCCGTGAGAACAGGAGCCGCTTGGACCCACGGCTGTAGGCTGGCCCTGGCAGGGCACCCACTGACTACCCAGGCTCAGGGCTCTCCTTCTGGCACAGCCAGGACCAGCACCCTCCCCTCCCACCTGCCCTGGCCCATTCAGGTGGCTGGACATAGGGATGCCAGCGTGGGATTCGAGACCACGGTGGCAAGGGTCTGTTTTTTGCATTTGAGTCCCTGCTCCCAGTCTCTCCCACACCCCTGGAGCTTGTACCAAGCCCAGATAGATGGTACCTTCTTTTCCCACACAAGTCAGGCAACGCCAGGCTTCCCCTGGGGCGCCGAGGGCCCTGCCCTGCGGTTACCCAAAGGAGGGTCTTCGGAACTTTGGGAAATGTGCACATTCAGCAGAGATTCCTAAGTCTTTGGAGCTGGAAGACATCTGAAAGCCATGCTGTCAACATGGTAGCTGCCTTAATTTAAATTATACTTAAATTAATTTAAATTAAGGGGCGCCTGGGTGGCCCAGTCAGTTAAGTGTCCAACTCTCACGGTTTGTGAGATCGAGCCCCGCATCGGACTCTGTGCTCACAGCTTGGGATTCTCTCTCTCTCTCTCTCTGCTCCTCCCCCACACTCTCTCTCCCTCTCTCTCAAAAATAAAAAAATAACGTTGAAAAAATTAATTTGGGTGCCTGGGTGGCTCCGTCGGTTAAGAGTGCGACTTGGGCTCGGGTCATGATCCCGAGGTTTGTGGGTTCGAGCCCCGCGTTGGGCTCTGTGCTGACAGCTCGGAGCCTGGAGCCTGCTTTCAGATTCTATGTCTCCCTCTCTCTCTGTACCTCCCCTGCTCGTGCTCTCTCTCTCTCTCTCTCTCTCTCTCTCTCTCAAAATAAATTAACTTTAAAAACGTATTTTAACACCATATGCTAATTAATTTGGATGTAAATTTAAAAAGTAACATAAAAATATTTTAATAAAATAAAATAATTAAACTAAATTAAAATTTTAGCACATTGCTTGCAATAGTCACGTTTCAAGAGCTCAACAACCACACAAGGGTCACCACGTTAGACAGGGCAGATGTGGAACACTTCCGGCACCGCCGGAAGTCCTGTGGGACAGCACCGTCTGGTATTTACAGATGGGGAAGGCGAGGTCCAGAGAGGTGAGAACGGGAGAGTGTTGGGGCCCCAGGACCCCCCGTCTGCCAGCTCCCTACCCCGAGGCCCACCTGACACTGGCTTACAGTATCCTTCGTGATGGGAGGGACTGGAGTGGAGACCCGCTAAGGCAGCGGGCTGCTTGGAAGTCAGAGAGAGATAAGTCTGCTCCATCTGTAAGGCTGAGAGATCATGTATCTAAGGCTGCAGGGACACACACACCATGACGCGGGCCAGAAGCAGCGAGAGAAGAACGAGGCTGTCCTGTCGATTCAAAACTGCAAAGAGGATGTGCAGCACCTCTGTGGATTGGGGACAAGACCCTGGCGGATCCAAGTAGCGGACTCCATGCCCAGGGCAGAGGGTCTCTGCAGGGGTGACATCCAGAGGAGCGTCCTTCCCACACTGCCCTTAGGGAACAGAGCCTCTTCCTCCCAAGAGCCAGCATGAAGTCAGCCGTGGGGGGGGTCCAGCCTAATTGCTGCTATAGCCAAAAACAGCCTTGCCACCGGCGTCAATGTCAAGATGACAGGGACCATAAGACACACACTCCCCAAAATAGGTCCATGGGCCCCGATGCCTCCATGCACCAAACCTGAAGACAAGATGCACACCGGAAGGAGCACAAGTTTGAGTATCTGTCCCCCAAAGGATGGACACCGGCGGTGGCGCTCCCACCCACCGTGGGGAGGGCGCCAAGAGCAGTGGGCCTTCTAGCCAGCCCAGCGGCATGCGCATTAGCGATCAGATGCACCATACACGCAAGGCAGGGAGAGCCATTCCCCAAGCTACGAAGAACAGAACGAAATGACTCATACCCAAGGTAGAGACCTCTACCAGAGGGAAAGTCCCAAACACTGAAAATAGGATGAGGGGGTAGGATATGCGACGAAAAAAGGGACACACCCGGGGGGGAGGGGGGCGATCTATGCTCCTAAACACTAAGCAGCCAAGAGGAATAAAAAGCTCCGCGTAGAGCGAAAACCCCCAACAGAGCAGGGGAAAGAGAATTCTGCAGAGCTCCTGGGGTGTGCCAGGTTCCGTGCTGTGGTTCCACGCCTGGGGTCTCATTCGATCCCAGTCACGGCCCTGTGTGATTAATAATTAATTGTCCTGGTTTTAGAGGCACAGCAACAGGTCCCCAGAGGTAAGAAAACTGCCCCAAGGATAAGCTAGAGTTGAGATGCAAGCCTGGGTTTCTAGAACTCTGTGACTCCAAAGCAAACGGTCTTTAGCGAGGCGGAGGGATGGAGGGCACAAAAAAATACACAGGATGAGAAACCACAGAGAAAGATGCACGACAGAGATACACAGA